TGTTTTTTAAGTAAGTACCGTTTTAAAATAGGACCGCTGCAGTGCTACGATTGGTGTTCCGCGAATGTGTGCTGAATACCTACATCTGTTGGCTAGCCACAGATGCAATTACGAAAGCATTCATTCATTTTACATTTGTTTGTGTGTGTTTAAAATGCCTGAGACATTTGAAAATCCTGCCAATTGAGAAGTACGCGCAGTGATTTGTATTTTTAATGCAAAAGATGTGAAATCAGCTGACATTCATCGGCAGATTAGTGAGGTGTATGGAAAAAACATTATGAGCGATGGAATGGTAAGAAAATTGGCTAGAGCATTTAAAGACAGTGGTATTAATGTCCATGATAAGAAGTGTAGTAGGCGACCGTCTGTCATTACTGAAGACTTGGTGCAGAAAGTTGTTGCAAAACTTTGAGAAAACAGACACTTTACAATTTCGTCATCCAAAACAAAAGGCATGGCAAGCTCAGTAAGAGGATTGTTTTGTTTCATGACAGTGCCCGCCCACACGTGGCTCAACGAACTCGAAATCTTATTACATTATATAACTGGGAACAACTTGATCACTCTACATATAGCCCTGATCTAGAGACTAGTGACAACCACTTGTTCCTCCACTTGAAAAAGGCATCTAGGCAGTCAGCACTAAGACGACAATGGCAAAACGCCATGCTGCAATGGTTGCCAAATCAGGTGGCAGGTGTCTGTGAGGATGGAATTCAGAAGCTAGTTGTACAATATGAAAAGTGCCTACATATTGGAGGAAATTATGTTGAAAAGTAGATTAAAGTACAAGCTTTCATGTAAGAAAATTATTTTTAAAAAATGCAGTTGTGTTTTTTTAATATCAAAATGGTACTTACTTAAAAAGCACACCTTGTAAATAGTCACTAGCGATGTGTTACCAAACATTCCATCATTATCAACTTCTGCTTTGTCATAAATACTATAATGTATTTTGTGAATATGAGATATAAGATACTGTAAATTTCTGATAACTTTACAACGTAGGTGAGATACTATGCTCCATTTTATGAGATTTTCATTAATCCAGCCTCAAATTCATATGTAGATGATGAGAAAAGACATTTTGTCTTAAAAACATATTTGTTGTTCTCTTAAGAAATATAGGTGTATAATAATTATTTTAAAAATAACAATTTTAGTTAAAATTAAATGCATAATTACTTAAAATATGAAATTATGTTTTCAAAGAATTAACTATTAAGTAACACGCACATGCGTGCACAAACAAGCTGACAAAAAGCACAAGTTTTGCAGAAACCCTATTTCCCACAAAATTCCAATAAGAATGGTCAGAACAGAACATTAATATACACAATACAGGAATGGAAATAAAGTGAAAAATTCCTGAGAACAGAAATGGGATGGTAATAAAATTTGCAGAAATACAAATGTTTGATTGCACTGACATTACAGTTCTTTCAATATAACTTGTCTCTTATTTAAACAGAGAAATCACTTTTTGACCAGCTGTGGTATGATGTAAGAAAATGTCTCATTAAAGTAGGAGGCATTTTATGCCCTTGATTTACTGAATAAACAATGTTAGTATATTTTATAGAATACACTGGCAGCTAACTGACAGTCTGTCACAAGATGTAACTGCTCTTGCATTGTATACATTATAAGTCATCCAATACTCCAATATAAAATCCTAATATACTTGAGTGATACCACAAAAGCTGCCATTTGGCAGCACAAGAGACTTCCTTCAATATCACTTGGTGGTAACAAGTTTGTACAAAGCAACATATATATCTTATAGGCAAAACCCTAGCTTCATTTTCAACAGTTACTGTTTGTGACAAATTGAATAGTAAAAAATATTTTTTTTTAAATTATGGCAGAATGTTATATTATAGCAAAGTATTGACAATTTTACAATTAACCATCACAGCTATCTGGCCTTCAGGGAAGCATAGTAATAAATGAAGTTAAAGGAAATTAATTTTTTTAACTTTAAATGGAACCATATTAATATGACTTTTCCTTATCAATTCCAACAAAGCACTAATATTTCCATACAACGATATTGCTGAAATGGTCTTTCTACATTAGCAACAGCTTGGCACAATTTTGTGACTAACAGATTTCGAAGCTAAAGATAACAATAGAAATAAGATTGTGTCTTTTAATACAGGTTGGCTTGTTTTGTAGCTTTCAATTAAGTTATCTATGGGGTTTTATCTCATTGTATAGATATCCAGCTTCAGTGCCTATAGTAACAGTAAACGGCTTCACTCTAAGTGTCTTGTTCTGTTGTAGGCTTCTGCTGCTTTCTTGCTTGCACAAATCACAAGCAAGAAAGCGGCAGAAGCCTGAAACATACATGGCTTCAGTTGGGTAAGGTTTAAAAAACTGCTGCTTTGAAGAAATGTTGAAGCAAGCATCCTTTATTTGAATCAAAACTTTCACATCTGGAAATTAATGATAATAAACTATTCAATGATAAAAGCAACGTGTGCAGGTTTGCTTCAGCTGGCATGATATCAGGCTGGAACTCCAAACAAGCAGGGATTGATACCCAGTGGGGTGAAGTATTTTGCCATTTCCAGACAAAGTGTTCCCTGTCATCAAGAACAGAAGATAGTTTATAGTTTAGTGTAATTTATTCTCTGTCTACCACTGAAAGGATCTTCTCTCTCATAAATTCTGTGAGCATACATGAACAAGCAAAAAAAACTCAATTTACTGTCACAACGTTGAAGGCAATGTTTCTGGTAAAGTAACCTTGATGCATCTGTAATAGAAATTCATGTGAGAAACTGTATGAGGGACTTTTACAGTGGCCACATCTTATAAGAAAAATTCACTTGTCAATGAAATATTGAACAACATATATGCTTCCACAGTTCAGAGCACATCTGCTAGTAGGATTAAGGCAAGTCATAAGACAATTTGCAGTAGGATTGAGGCAAGTCATAAGACAATTTGAATTTAATTCAGTTTTTATAGTATCCTCATATTCTATTACCCTGAAATGTATTCTGCTCTAGTATCCACTGTAGTCAATTGTTAGTATACAAACCCACAAGTAACAAAATTAAAGGTTAAAAAAAATTTTAAAAATAAACCTCCATTGATTCAGTCTTGATAATCTCTATTAGTGGTCTGTTTGCCTACTATGTACAGTAGTGGCCAAAAGAAGAACTACCCTTGACATATGTTTTAAAAATGAGACTTCTATTTTGTTCACCACCTACTACATAATTAATATTGTAATAGTTGAAAAGAGTCAAAATACTCAATTGAATCAAACAGATTTTATTTTAAATCTGATTTACTAAAGAAAAAACAAACAATTTTTATATTTTACACTGTAACAAAAGTAGAGCTACCAAAGGAAGTATGCAGATTTGTCCAGTATTTTTAGGACAAAATATTAGTATTTTGTGGCATAACCAAAGCTTCTGATCACTGCATCACATCTACATTCCATTGAATCAACTAAGGTGTCAAGCAGTGATTTGGAAGTCTCAAACCATGCTTTTTAAATGGTAGACCATAATTCATCTGGATTCGAATATGTATGCTGGCATATACATAACTCAACTTTATCCCAAAGATTTACTATGGGGTTTAGGTCTGGCGATTGGGCTGGCCATATCATAAGATTCACCCTTTTCTGTTAAAACCATTGCTTTACCAAATTTGCTGTGTGTTTTGATCACAATCATCAATTTTTAAACCCCCATTTCCTCTTAGTCAAGTCAGAACAGCCTAGATGGCAGATAATTTGGCAAAACAACCATCCTGCTTTCAATGGACCAATAATGAAACCTTTCTCAAACTCTGTCAACTGTAATATCCTTGACTGCATCAAAAGATATGCCTGACATTCAAACACCTCCAAATAACAGGTACACTTAGGGAGACAGATATTCTGATTTTCTACATTTTGTTCCGTCATCTTGAGAAAGATTGTTGGGAGAAAGACACTTAAATATCCCAAATTTTTTTATTTTTATATTTACATCACTATCAGTATATTTCAAGTGTTTTCATTTCATTATTTGAACAACTTCATGTGTCTTCATGAAATCAGCTGAGACAACTGCACCTCTATAATCTCACTAAATATAACATCAAACTGTTTTACAAAAATTACTACTGACGACAGCATTTAAAGTTATAGTTCATGCTACAACACCAAGTACATATTACAATTTTTATTGTTTTAGTTTACCTTAGCTTTACTATTTATACTCTTGAGAATATAAAAGTAAAGTAACCACAATAAGTGACATTTATTGTGATCAACAATTCAAAACAGTAAACTCCAACACATTTTAGTCATTTATTAGAATCATATTTTCAGATATTTTTGTATTATTTTCAAAGAACACAGTGATGATACATACTTTGTAGCATGAATTCAAGACAAGCAAAGATAAATGAATATTTTAAATTTAGCAGATTTCCTAGTATTAGTTAATTTTTCTCATTGAATTTTATACAATTATAAACAAAACAAAGTAGTTATATGACAGTAAAACATTCATTAAACTATTAAAATTACATAATGTTCAATAAAAAATAACCACTAAATGATCTTTTCTTATTGTAACTATTACTTTCCCAAAAGTTTCCACCCAAAAGAATTTTTTGTGTCCTGTTTGCATATTTATAATTTATGATCATCCTAGGTATACTGAAAATTCTGAACATAGTAAACCTCTGCAAGTCTTTATAGGATACTGAGGTAGCAATTTTAAGGCACTCTGAAGGCATTACATAGTATGAAACTGAATCACAACTGTAATAATTGACATATTTATATGCAGAGTTTCGTAATAATTAAACAATTGTTTCTAAGTGCCTAACTTATTTTGTCAATAAGCAACTGTGTGCAAAAGCATGCAAGCATGCATAAAAATGACTTGAAAATGAAATCATAACAATACTTATTAAAAATAAAATTAGGCAAAAATAAATAAGAATCTGTAAATTCTTAAAGCAATAGTTTAATAACAAACCTTTTTAAACTCATCTTCAAGTGTTTTCTCCAAATATTTATAACGACGTATCAACTTTGTAAAAACCTAAATAAAGTAGTTAAAATTATCCATCAATATTTATGAATAATAAATAATTTTAAATCATTTCTTTTTATGCTGAGTTAACTTATAAATTGCAAATATTCCATAAATAGATAATGTTTTTATACTATGGAGAAACATTGAAAAATTTTGATTATTATTATATAAATTACAAAATACTAAATACAGAAAGTTAAATTTATTATTAGCATCAATGTATTATTATTTAAGAGACAAAAAACACATATATATTTGTGTTTATATATTATTATGACACTGTCACAATGCTGGTCTGCAATTTTTAATCACCTTTTAATTTAACAAATCACATGACTTCTAATCCAGACAAAAAGTTCATATATAGTTAATCAGAACCTCCAGCTCCTAAGCTTACCACATCTGGCCTTGATTTTGATCTATCCAACTCTGTTCTCGAGGAAAATTTGAAGTGAAATAATGTGATTCTGGTCTGGACCAAAAGTTCATGTATTAGTTATTATGTATATGATTTATCATCTAAGCTTTCTATACCTGGTCTCGATTTTTATCTATCTAATTCTCAAGATTAACAAAGGACAGATGACAGTGGGAATGTACTACAGGTCTGTAATCTGAAAACTGTAGCACAATTACAATCATCTGTTATTACACAAGCCAATTTTTTTTTTTTATTATTTCAAAATTTTTTTTGGTATTTTGCCTTTAATATTGTACATATCTATTTCATCCCAGACTTTTAACGTTTATTTTACAAAGAAATTTTGTGGGTATAGAACCATAAGAAACTCTAAATTTTGCAATTTCTCAATAATAGAGTATTCCTATTATATTCAACAAGTTCTATTTGGGACCATAAACAGTTATGTAAAATTCCAAATTATTACATAAAATAGTAAATTTGCTATATTTAGTTGGTCCAATTTTCAAATCTTGCATGCTTTATGAGTATAAACGTGACACTATATCAATAGAAGTATGTAAAAAAATTTGCACAGCATTTGAAAAAGATTGTGTTAACAATAACAAACATATAGTGCAAAGATGGTCTGCAAAATTCAAATTAGAAAATTTTTTTCTTGAAGATGCAGTTCAGGAAGGACATCCTTCTGATAATGAAGAGGATTTGAAAGCAATCATTGAAGAAGATCCAAAATAAACACGCCAAATGCTTGCAGGAAAGTTCAGAGTAAATGATGAAACTATTTAATTGCATCTCAAAGCCACAAGAAAGATGTAAAACAGGGGTGTCCAACCCGCGGCCCGCATGCGGCCCAAGGCAAGTTCCAATGCGGCCCAATAAACGTGTAAACAAAACCGACAAAATGTTTTAATTTTTTTATTATTTATCTATTTCAATGGCATAAACTCAAAAAAGAAGTTTCACAAAGCGGTAAACCTTTATTCATATTTTATTCTTGAGTGGAAAGGAAATATTTTCAAATACTTGGAAATGTGTGAATGAGGAAGGATTACTAAATAAAGCTGGAGTTGTGACTCAAAGGATTATAGACCCAAATTTGGGAAAAGGAGGGAAAGATGAGAAAAAACAAAAGATGTAGTAGTGAGAAAGGTTAAATAGATCTTCTGTTGACCCTTAATTTTCCAACCTTTCTCACTTTTTTATCTTTTGTCCTTTCTCTCCTTTCCCTGCACTTGGGTCTATAATCCTTTGATTCACAACTCCAGTATTATTTACTATTTTTTCCAACGTTGCAAGATTTGGCTACATTGCGCCAAATGTGGCTACTTTTTTTGTTCGATGCAAAAAATATCATTTGGCGCTTTGGCTACTTTTTGGGCTACCTATTATTTATATTAGTTGAATAAAAATGCACTTTAAAATGGTGTTTCGTTGCTTTTTATTAATTAGAGACCCAAATATAACAAACGTCTGTGTCTTTCAAATAAATTTCCGTTTGTCTCTTTTATAATAAATGAATTTATCTATTTCTAAGTAAAAATTGAAAGTGTCTGTAGAAGTAATTTTTAAAATATCCTTTTTCTTGATAAAGTTTTAATACTTATTATTATAATCTAGACATGTTAATCCTTAAATATACTTGTATATTGGACCACAAGTATATATGTACTGTACTTGTGGCCAGTGGCGTAGCGTGGGTGTCAGCCCCCCGGGGAAAAGGAAAATTTCGCCGTCCCCTTATTTAGGTATCTCAATTTAAAAGACTAAAATTCAGTTTCCTCACAGAATAAGTAATGAAAAATTCCGTGCTAGGGTTTGCTAGGGGTTGCCACTTTTTTAAAATCGCCGACCCGGACGGCGGGTGAGGTTTGTTCGAACAGAAGTTCCTGACGCATGCGTATGTCATTTTGCAATGCGAATAATAATTTGCAGTGCATGCTGGTTCTAAATCAGTTACAGTTAGCGACTAGAGAGACTTGGATAAGAGTAATGCAAGTGACCTAGCTCTATTGGATATTGAAGGTGTATATATATACGAATAAATCGTACAAGCAAAGAAAAAAAAAACAAAAAAACAAAAATAAAAAAAGGTCAACAGGTTGCGCACGATATCCTCGAACGGCGAGTCAATTCGCGGTATTCGCGGATGGTAACACTATTGCCGTGCTCATTTCAATCGGTCCGAGTCGTAGGTGCACGAAAATATGAAATAAAATGGTTCAAATTCTTACAAGATATTATTATTATTTATTGTCAAATTTTGCCGCCCCCCCTAAAAAGTACCACTCGGGGCGGGCTGCCCCTGCCACTCCTTTACGCTACGCTACTGCTTGTGGCCCAAAACTCCTTGACTTCTTCCAATGCAGCCCAGAGAAACAAAAAGGTTGGACACCCCTGATGTAAAAGGTCAGATGATGAGTTCACCATGAGCTGAATGAAAGTCAAACAACTTTCTGCTTGCATGTCTATACTTGCCACTCATCACAAAAATGAACCATTTTTGCATTGAATAATGACTCACAATAAAAATGGATTATGTACAAAAATGTTAAACATCCTGATTACTGGTTAGGTCAGAACAAGCACCCAGCACATCACAAGCTGGAATTCATCAAAAGAAAGTTCTTTTGTGTGTCTGGTGTACATCAGCCAGTAGGTTGAAGTACACCAGACACACAAATGTAATAAACATAGTATTATGTACTATAAATTATTTCCACACAGACAAACAATAACAGCAGAGGTTAGACAAAGTATAGGAAGCTGTTACAAAAACAACCAGCTCTGATGAGTCAAAGAGATGTCTTGTTTCTACAAATTAATGCCAGACCACACATGACATGAACAATGGTTGGAAAAAATTTCCAGTCTACCTTCTAATTACTACTTGCTTCTTTGCAAAACCATTATTATAGAGAAATTCACCAATTATGACAGTATTCAAAAGAAGATTAAATACTTTTTTACTTCCAAGGATGCAGAATATTAAAAAGAAGAAATTCATAAGCTTATGAAACATTAGCAACAATGCATAGAATACAATGGTGATTACTTCCCTCAGTAAATATCATTTTTATCAAATTTATACAATAAATATTATATGTTATAAAAAACAACAAAGCTTTTTTGATCATCCAATATACACTAAATGGCCACTTGTTGAAAAATTAATTTTCATAGAAATGATACATATGACAGAAAATAACATGACTGCATTCAAGTATTACAACATTGACTAATTGCTTTAATTAGTGTAAATTTGAGTACCAAAGTGGGAAGAGGAAGAGATTCAAATTAGTTTGAATGTGCATAATTGTCAGTGCATCATGCAACATTCTAGTGTCACAGAAACCTCAAACCTTTCGGCTTGAACAACAGTTTATGGAGTATACTGAGTATGGCACAATACACAAACAATTTTCAGTGAAGATAGACCTGTAGCCAACAGCAGTTCATCAATGAAAGCATCAAAGAAGAATTGAGAGGATTGTTCATGCCAATCAGTGTGTAACTGTGAAATCATGAACCAGTACAATACCAGTATGTAGAGAAATGAACTGTTCACCACATATTATGTATGAACTATAATAGCCAACAACATCTATGAGTTCTACTCCCATTAGCAGTTGCATGTTATCATGGAATGGCTACGAATATCTGTATGACTTCAGAAACTCGTGGAGTCACTATCTTGATGAATTCAAGCAATCTTTGCAGTTTTAGGGGCCCAAAAAGGTATCTATCTAATAAAGTGGCCATTCATAGCAATTGTTTATGCTGAACAGCACACACAGTTCAGGAAATTACAGATCAAAACATTACTATAAATATAGTAAAAAATATATCATTTAACAAGTTATTTAGTATCTAAAGAAACATACTTGGGCATAGCTTCTTAATGTTTCAAGATTATCCTGAGCAGAAAAGATGCACACATCTGTGCGTGATACTTTTGATGGATCTGCCTCGGCAGCAAGACTTCCACCAGGAGCTACAGTAATAAAAAAAATTTGTAAAGAATTATTTTTGTTTTTAAGTAATTATTATTATTATTATTATTATTATTACCAGAAATTAACATATTCATACCTAAAATGCCACCAGCAAGAAGAATGTCAAAAAGGGTTTCTCCGTATCTACGGTAATCAAGTTTTGATCCTGCTGAATCCAAAAATTTATAAACAGTTTCTAAGTCAGACCCTGCCTCATTAAGACCTTGAAGGATTGCGTCACGAAACCCAGTTGGGTCGTATTTTTCCTTTTCATCTTAATAAAAAAAAAAAAAACAAAAAAAAAAGTT